ATATTGAAAATATATTGCTTTTGGAATTCCGAGAATTCCTTTCACACTTGGGTCGAAAAATAGCGGCGTTGTTTTAATAGGAAGCCCAGCTCTCACCAAATGAAATAATTATTGTGCAATTGACTGTCATTACTCACATTCCATTGTTGATCCTAATATAGCTATAAAATCAATGTCCGTACAATTGATGCCTTTCTCGAGAGTCCAAGTACCTACAACTCTTCGCAACTAACTTCAATGTCGTTGTGCGATAGACCGGTCCATAGAAAGCTAACACAGTAACACAGTTTAGGAAACGTAACACTAGTTTCATGGTGAAAATTTTGCTTGCATGAATTAGACATATTCATAATATATAATATATTATCTTTTGCATCGGTTGCATTGAAGCTCTTGAAAAACTACCTGTCTACTTGATAGTAAGTGGATGCTGTGGCCCATAGACGTCTACATCTATCTTCGATTAAGAATCAAAATACAGACGCGTTGTCACCCCTGAGAACTAAGATGCAATGTCTCGTTTCCAGTAAAAAGGGTTCACAAAAAAAGAGTCCAGCAAAAAGGAGCCATCTTGTTTTTTTACACTCACCATACAAAACATAGCAGTATTAAGCTGCTATTTTACGGCACTATTTGGTGAGAGCGTGGTTTTTCCACGATAGAGCCGACCCATTCGTGCTACAACTATAATATATAGCTGCAACCTGGCTCTACCACGTATATGAGTAAATCTTCTTCGGAAAGACGCAAAGATGTCACTTAAACTTACGGTATGCGCCCTTCTTAGCGAAAAATTCTTGGACTATGGCCCTTTCTCGCTTTTACAATTGTTAAAAAACCAGTCAGGATTGTAAGGTATCAGTTCTGCGCTTAGTGAAGATTTGGTTTAAAAACTCAAACTAAGGACATATGAATCTATGCTTAAGTAAAAACGGATCAGATATATTGAGTTTGATTTATGAGATCATGTTCAAAACTGTGTAAAAAGTGCTTTCATCAAAGATCATCTGCTAATGTGTCTTGTTTGGTAGATCCTTCAAGAAATATTTCTATTCTATTAAGAGTTAAGGCCTAATCTTATTCAGTGATTGTATGAATGACGTGAAATATTTGAATGGCTTTGAATAGAAAACCAGTCTTATCTCTCTTTTAAAGTCAGAACTCTACAAATGGTAAGTAGAAGATAGTTTCAAGTTCTAGTATTTTAAAGTAAAAGTAACTAAACTTATTTTTAAGTTTTATTTTTTATTCAGATGCGACTAAAAAAACTAAAAAAGAAAACAATGAATGTCGTTGAATTTTGGTACGTATAATTTGACTGTTTGAATTAAACAAGCTAATCATTATTCATTACAATTAAATAACATATTTCGCCTAAACTTACAACATTTTTTAAGGTTTTTACGTCTTGAGATTTTTTTATAGAATAAGTGTGACAAACGAGCACACAGTCCACCTGATGGTAAGTGGATGCTGTGGCACATAGACATGTACATATATCTTCGATTAAGAATCAAAAGTTGCGTTGTCTCTCCTGAGGACCAAGATGGAATGCCTCTTCACCAGTATAAAAAATCTATTCTTACAGCAAGCTTATACTTGAATATCTACAAAAAATATGATAATTACTTAATGAAAAAGGACTAAACCAAATATGATTATTTGTTTATTGAATACAAATAAATACATGAACTTGTAGAAAACTAAGATTCCTCTAAAATCCCTAAAAGGGTTACCCTGAAAAATTGCAAACAATCTTGTCAACCAAACAAGTATTTGGATATTATTCGATGAAATTTAGTAATATTTTTCGTTGCCCAATGGTACCGATTATATAATAATTCAGCAACCAAAATAATACAGCGCATTTTTAAAATCGTTTGGATTTGACTTTAAAATTAAAAAATAAGTTCTACTGTAAAATAACTTTTGGTTATCACGATCGTTGTAATAATTTAATGTATCTAAAAACAAGTACTATAACAGTCTTGAAAACTACATTATTTTCTCCGGGCTTGTACGATTCGGTGAATATATAATATAGTGAATAGATTTTGTAGCTAACATTATAGCTACAAAATCTATCACCAATATAGAAAAAGTTATTCCAATATTAACTTTTTCTGCTTTATCAATCCGAGCTTATTAATGATGTAATTTTCTTTATGACTGGTTGGTCTCTGATCGTTAGCGCTACTGCTTTGCATGGGGTTACGAATTTAAATTCAGTTTAGGTAATCTCAGTAACAGCCAGTGGAGTAAAGACGGTGGCGACGTTTAAGCCACGGACCTCGGAAATCACGTAAAACCATTGATCTAGAGCATGATCTCCTTCCAGTCATATCTTAGAGTGCACTTATGCTTGCGCACACACTCGTACATTAAAATCCTTTTCTTCGCTCTTGGCTAGTCTCCACTGATACCGGCTACATTGGCCAAAATGAGGTGTGTTGGACATTATTATTATTATTAGTGGCCATAGACCATAGAAGCAGAAGAATATAAACTATCATGCCCGTCACCCAGAGGGGTAGGCAGAGACTACGGACTTCTCAAACCCTACTCTCGTCTCATTCACATATCAGTGCCCACATGCTCGATGGTTAAAAGCTCTCTTAACTTCTACTTGGCTCTGCTATTTAATTCTGCAGCTTAAATTTGCTTTGTCATTTATTATTTCTACCTGCCGAAGCATTCCTTACTTAAACTTGATCGTAACGTCTGTTCACAAACCACACATTTCTCATCCATACTTTTTGTATGGAGTCTGCCATAATGGCCATGTTTGGCGAATAGATTGCCGACGTACTACCACTCCTGGCCGCCGCTCCTTTCTGAGAGGGATTTCTGGAATTTCCTAGGAATTGTCCACCGCGCTGCCCCAATGCGTGTTGGCGAACTTCACATGTCTTCGAAATATTTTTTTTCTTATTTCTGAAACATGCGGGTTTCCTCACGATGTTTTCCTTCACCGCTGAGCACGTGGTAAATCAACACTTAAAATTGCTATTACAATTTCATTGGTGCCGGCGGGGATAGAACCCGGTTTGCTCGCGCACTGTGATATTTTCAGCGAGCGCTAGTCATCTAAGCTACCACGGCTCCTCTCCTCTCGAGGTAGAGACTTTATTTTATTTATGGTACGATTTTTGTCGCATGCCAGCGCTTACTTTTGGTTATTAACTTTGGTTCTGGCAAAAAGTTGTGAAACGTTTGTGAAAGTCAGAATTGTGCAAATGGTGGTCGCAGATATATTACCTGCACTTCAAAATTTTATTGTGTGAGTATTTTAAACTATTTTTACGAACTTGATGAACCACATTAAATAAAAAATAGTCTCCTATCTTTCTCTCTATGTTTTGATCTTATAAAACGAGTTTGAGCTGGTAAAATCAAGACAAACTTAGGGTAGGATTGTTAATTATAATTTTGATAATAAAACTAGTGAAATTCCGCGGTTTTATATGCGCAAGCGTGAACGTATTTAGAACATAATATAACCTTTACGTTTTACATAAATATCCTAAAAAACTTATTATTTTAATATGTTACTACCTATAAAATTAATAAGTTTATTGCATTTTTATTTGAGAATAGACTTGCGTTTGACTACCATCTATTTGTTAAGATAGATACGTACATTATAGGACTTACGTACTAAATAGTCTTAAACGTACCTTATAATTGTTAGAAGGTACCTCGAAACAAGAAAATACCAGTTCTCAAAACAAAAATAAATGAAAAAATTGTCGGCAGTACGTGAATTATTTTACCAAAATGCTAAACTTAGTGTTTGATCTCATAAAATTTGTTTTGGGAATATAATATTTTATTACACAGAAGAAAGAATGAAAGCAAAAGCGATATTTGTTTGATAATATGAAAAACCTTCACAAAATTTTTGAAACTGAATATTCCAAGGTAAGTTACTCTTGCTTTTGTAAACAAAGGCCATTTTGAGTATTTATACCTAAAGTTAACCAAAGAGATACATTTCTGCGCAAACTGCATGCAAACATGGAATTCTTGAATCAAGCGTTACATAAAAAAGATACTTAAATACATTAATTCTAACGACTTAATTAACAGTCTATGTTGCTCAAAAACTGAATGTTTACTGGAACGATGTAATTTGTGCAAAAATAAAGTAACTGACTATCAAGAATTCGATAACGATGATCCATTATCATTCAAAAAATGGGAAAACTCAATATCCACTTACGTAGTTAAAGGCATAGAAAAGACTAAAAAAATTATAGTGTACATAAGTGACCACGTTACCGAAACAATCTATTGAAGTATTAGAAAATATGATTCCAATATTCCTGAAACATGAAGGAACACTTAGGTGGAAATTTACTGCAATAAAATTTCGGAAGGAACATTTCAAGGGCAATGAAGCTATCATTCACATAGATTTTAGTGAGGACTATGCAGTGAAGTATGAGTCGGAGGTTCAATCCTTCCATTTTGGAGATAGTAGGCAAGAGTTAACACTGCATACTGCAGTTATATATTTAACAGATGATACAAGCAATTTGACAAACATATCATTTTGTACAGTAAGCGAAAACTTGCGACATGATTCCGATGGTGTATGGGCGCATATTAACCCTTTATTGAATTTGTGAACTTTGCAAGTAAAAAAATAGACACATTACATTTTTTATCAGATTCGCTAAGTAGCCAGTACAGAAATAAAACAAAGTTTTATATTATTTCTAAACTATATTGGTATTTTCATGGGCTAAAGATGGTCACCTGGAATTAATTCGAATCAGCTCACGGCAAAGGTGCTGCAGATGGAGTAGCGGCAGTTGTTAACCGCACTGCTGACGCTCCTGTAGCGCAAGGTAGAAGATGTTGCGCTATTAGATGGCTTTTTGAAAATCGTAAAACAAAACACACAAAACATTAATATGGCAACTGTTGAAGAATACCAAATAATAGAAAAAAGATATCTTGATACCTTCAGAAAAGTTGAAACCATTAAAGGTACAATGAAAGTCCATCAAATACTGTGGCAGAAAGAAAAGGACCACCTAATATTCAGAGAAACTAGTTGCTTTATATGCTTGGACATGAACTGTAAACGTACAAAATTTGTCGGAAAATTATGCTATAAAGACAAAGATGAATCAACACATGTAACAAATAAAGATAATGAAGATAATAATATGTATAAACCACAAACGTAATCCCTAAAATTACACCAAATAATAGGACTATTAAAATATTAAGTAATATTTTACTTACACCAAAACGCAAAAGAAACGAAACCACCATTAAAATGCTCTCTGATTCAAAACCTGATAATAAATTACACTTGGACCCTAATGTACAAAATCTGTATAATATTTCTGGCAGTGGCAGTGATATCAATTTTTCAAGCGTATTTAAAGACTACGTTCACGAGATCATGATGCGGATCATCATTGCTGTGTGATGATTTTGCAGATCCACAAAAGACTGCATTTGACTGCATGAAAGTGATACAGATTCGAGTTCAAGTTTCAATATTTTTTAGTTTTTGTAACTAATCTCATTATTAAGAAATATTTTAGATGAAACCTATATAACGCTCTATTTACACAGAGTTTTGAACTAATGTTTTAGTGGATTTTATTTAGGTTACTAGAAAGATAATTATTATTGTTTTTGTTTTCAAAATCAGTTTATTTTGTTGTTTTCCATAATTTTTAAAATTAAGTCAACGTCTATATTTACCAAAGTTTGATAGAAACGGCTAATCTTTTGTATTTTTCTGTACTACTTAAGACTGAATTATTTTATAATTGATACTGATTCGGATTTAAGTAACCTAGTTTAAGAAATATCTTAGATGAAACTTATATAGCTCTGAGTTCTAATGACACTGAGTTTTGAACTAGTGTTTTAGTTGATTTGATTTAAATTACTAGACGGATAATATTATTGACTATTAAGAAAACCAGTTGATTTTTGAGTATTTTTTATTAAATCAAGCTATGTAGCTAAATTTGAACTGTCACCTAATAAATAATAATAAATAAATATGTGATTTAAGTATATCATCTTTTTATTTATAATTACCAATCACGTATCGTGTTTCATATCTCATCACCGTTAGACGAAAATTTTCAGCTTCAGATTCAGACCTTCATAGCAGTTCAGTTACTGTGCAATTGATTTATTTCGTTAATCTGTACTATAAACTCTATATTGAATCCATAAAAAAAATAGTCGGAAGCATTATTTGAACTTAATTTACGAACCCTAAATATGTCTATGTTCAAATATTCACCCTTAACGTGCTTGAAATAAAGTTAATTTTTCTTCATTTTTATTGAATGACAGAATTAGTAATAATACAAATTAAACTGCACTCTTAAAAGTCTTATTGCTTATTTATAGTTACGGTCCATTTCAGTTTGTTTTGACTGTACAGATTTAGTGTGACTGTAATTTCCGTAGTTTTAATCATTTTTGGGATAAAAAATTACCTATAGTAAAAATGATAGGAATCGATTCAGTAAATGATTCTGAACAAACTACTTTCTCAAAGTGCGTTAATTACGTTACATGTTGTATTCTATCGTGGGGGCTACACTTCAACTCTCACCGACAAAAATAAGAAATTAACTATTTAAGTTTATACAAATATTATATTTGACATGATTACTTCATACATAATATTATGTTCAAATTCACGAACATCTAGGATATTTACACAGGCATTTATTTATATTTTAAAAAAATTCTTCTTTTATTTATTAATTCATAATTTTTCATTTCACTTTTTATTATTTTAACTTTTTATTTTTAGCTAAACGTTATTAATTTTTCTTTTTACTTCATAGCATTTAAATTATTCTTCATTAGATAATAACTGTGCCTTTTTTCACCTACACGGTCAAGACGGAAAATGATAATATCATTTCATTCGTTCTTTAAATTTATAGTATTTTAGCTCATATTAATCAATATTTCGTTTTACCATAACTTTCATGTACGCAGCTCGCGTGTACATGTTTGATAAAGATTATGGACAATATTCCTATACAATTCATAATAAATTCTCATTTACCTCATTAACAATACATTAAATGAATATTAAAACATTAAAACTTATTCCGCATTTAGTCGTATCTGAACAACCTTGAAAAACTAATCGGTTTTTAGGTTTTCCAAACTCTTAGGTGATCGGGCTGATTGTATGTGGATATGCTAACCTCCGATAATTTTTACTATGTCAAACCTTTTACTTATTCAACATTTTTGATAATAATTAAGTATGCCATAACTAATCCATAAATTTACTTACGTCTTTTACAAATTTATATCATATTATAGTCTCGAATATTTAGTTACATCATTGTCAGTCAGGGATTGGGGCATACAATATGGACATCAAATATTAAATTAATTAATTGTATACACTATATAATAAATTTTCAAATCGTATTAAGCGAGGAAAATATTTTTATCATCATCATCATCATTATTACAGCCCTTCACAAGTCCACTGCTGAACAGAGGCCTCCCCCAAGTAATGCCACAAAGCACGGTCCTGAGCCACCAGCATTCATCGACTTCCTGCATATCTTACCAGGTCGTCACTCAATATAGTGGGGAGTCGTCCTACACTACGCCTACCGGTACGAGGCTGCCACTCGAGAACCTTTCTTCCCCATCGGTTATCGGTTCTTCGAGCTATATGGTCGGCCCATTGCCACTTCAGCTTACTAATCCGTTGGGCTATGTCGGTCACTCTGGTTTTACTGCGGATATCCTTATTTCTGAGCCTATCACGTAAATAAACCCCGAGCATAGCCCTCTTCATAGCTCGCTGAGCGACCTCGAGCGTCCTCATACGGCCGGCAGTGTAGGACCACGTCTCAGATCCATAAGTCATCACAGGCAATACGCACTGGTTGTACAATCTAGTTTTCAGAGATTGAGGTATACCTGACGAGAAGATGTGTTGTAATTTCCCGAACGCTGTCCAGCCGAGTTGAATCCGTCGATTGACCTCTCGGTCGAACTTGGACTTACCTAGTCGGACTATTTGTCCCAGGTAAACATACTCGTCAACAACTCCGAGCATAGTGCTCCCAAGAACTACCGGCATAGGTGTGATATGGACATTAAACATGATCTTTGCTTTGCCCATGTTCATCTTAAGACCTATCCGTTGGGAGACACCATTGAGGTCACTGAGCATAGTGCTTAGGTCCTCCAGCGATTCTGCCATTGATGTATTCAAGGACTATATTGTCGGCAAATCGAAGGTGAGTGATGTACTTGCCATTGATGTTAATACCGCATCCTTTCCAGTCCAGTAGCTTGAAAAATTTATATAACTATAAATATTATTAAGTATTTTTATAACCCACACAAATAAGTATTGTTTCCCCAGAAAATAATAAATTATAATAGTTAAAAGCTTATTATTTAAATGTTCAATCAATATAAAACCGAAAATAAGTAACTAAATTCCATATTAAAATGAACAGAACAAAGAAATTTTAACGAAAACGTAAGTCGTCCTTACTACCATAACAACAGACAGTTCAAAATACAAATTGTGATCCCAGCCACGTAAGGGATTTGTGACACCTTTCTTTTATATTCATAAGTACGTATTTGGAAACGATTGTCATTATATCGTATTACGATCACGTAATTTTAACATAACTTGTATAATATGCCGTATATATATATACAACAATAATTAACAATAACAAAAGGATAACCCCCGCAAAAAAAAAAAAAAAAAAAACACATTTTTTTGTAGAAACATATATAAGTTATTACAATTAGGCTAAATTTTTCATGTTTAAATTTGCTTATTATTCTTTTATTTTATTTTTAGGTTTCCACTCCAAAGTCAAAGTGGAATAAATTCGTCCATTTTTAACTTTCGCTTGCCCAGCATTTATGAACGATTCTTATTCTAATTTAAATAAATATATTTGTAATTTAAATGTTATGTTAATAAGTTTTGTTAAACATACATTTATTACGTTTTTCTTTGTATTTGACATAGATACCTTTTAAAATATTCAGATAAAAAGATCATTAAAATATAATTGTGATAATAATATTATGTTTAATAAGTAAATATAATATATAAAATAAATGACAAAATTTAAAAATTGTTCTCGATATAATTTACCTATTTAACAATAAAATCTACTATTACCTACGGATCATTCTACCTATGTTTATTCTATGATAAAAAACCAACCGCGCGAACACAGAGTAGCGCACATTTTTGTCTGAGATAGCTGTTTTAGTACGTAAGTACATATTACTTCAATGACAAAACATTAATTTATTTAAATATTGAAAAAAATTAATTTATTATAATATACCTTTAAGGTTCTATGCCCATATAAAAAAAAACTAAAACTTTTATATAACCAAGTTTATAATACAAAATTTGTATATACTTAATTTTTTATGGTAGTAGTACATTTACTACTACCGTAAAAAAAATTCCACCAGTGTTATTTTAACTACAAAATATGAAAAATTCATTGATGATGAATCACACACATCAGGTACTGTGTCCATTCCGTTATAATATGTTTTTCAATCGTTTCATTATTGTCTTCATTATTTGACTGACTAATATTTTACTAGCAACCATTTTAACTAGGCCCGGCGGTGCGCATTGCCGCAGCGCAACGCCTAGCAGGGTTGCCATGTAATGTTGGAGGATGTTAAATAAAATGGAATGTGTTACTTGTTCTAGACCTTTAATTATACTGCACTTAACAGCTACAATTAGCTTTAATATATACTACTGTCGCGGGGGCTACACTATAAAATATCTGTCGCTGTGGAAACACTGTTACAACATAATGATAAGTTGTATTATAGTTTAAAAATATTAAACTGTGGTTTTTGCTCTTTCGTAGTTGTAGTCCGTATTTTTGAAAATATATTTGTGTGGGACAAGCAAACTTACGGTCTGTTGCAACACATGGACACCTGAAAACAACATTAAACAAAAATGTTACAGATGCGTTGTCATCACAGATGTATTACCTAATACAATAGTGCAGTTACAAAGTAAGAAGCTAGAACAAACATAATATAGGTATATTATGCACAACTTAAAGATATTTTACAAAAAGCGGCATCTATGAATTCATTCAGACTACAGTTGAACAAATCGCGACAAAGGCGCGTGCTGTAGCAAGTTGGTGCGCGCTTGCGGCACCGACAAGAGCGGCGGCTGACGCCGTCTTCTTACGTACTCATTAGGGAAACACAGCTTAGCTATCTGTAGAATACCTGGGTTATGTATTTTACCACGGATCATTTTTAGTAAGCAAGGGGCGAGAGCAACTTCCCTTCTTATTTCTAGTTTATAATAGCCTATCAGTCCTAGTGTAAATAAAGTAGGGCACAACAGTGGATAACCCGGGTACACACCATATTGTTTTAAATACATAAATCTCAAAAATTTGTTTTGAATACGTTCTAGCATTAATTTATACTTATTTGGCTTCATGTGGTGACCAAACGACAGCATTGCATTCTAAAATACTTTTTACAAGTGCCTCATATAATGCTCTCAGAACACAGAACAGATGTTTGTGAATCTGTTGGCTAGCCGTAAGACCATCCCTATGTAGCGGTATGCTTTTTTACAAACTTTAGTAACGTGTTTTCGAAATTGTATGACGGTGGTGAATAGCACGACTAAATCATTAACCTCAAAAACACATTGCATACCGACTCTCCATACCCAGATACTCCGTACTCCATACTCAGATAAAAACATAGCGGATCCTGCACTTCTGCTTGGCAGTAGAAATGTACTGCGTGATATTTTTTACCGTCTGGAAAAAAAATAGAGTGTAACAGGTGAACAGGATAGCAGCCTATAGCACTGAAATTTTACAATGTTTTTATTTCAATTTAAAATAATATGAAATTGATCTATCAATAAATACTACTGATTTGAAATAAACTTTAGGTACTAAAAATAACAACAACATATAACTAAGTGAATTGCAGGTGTCCATGCATACCTGCAGTTCACCTGCAGTTCACAGGTATCCATGGACACCTGCAGTGGATAGTCACTGATTATTAGGACTGTAAGTATGTTTGTCAATAGGTACAGTTTTAAAAAGAACATGTTTCTGTAACATATTTTTCAATGACATCGAGTATAAAAAATTCTTTATTTTGTCTAAAAATTTCAACAAAGGCTGAAAATGACTACGCGGGGGAGGCGGATTGATGGATAGACTTTTATTTACAATACACGTCACTTTACTACTGTCGGCTACGTTTATTTAGAATGATAATATATTTACTCGAGCGAGTCACGCTTTTTGTATAAGTCGTCGTTTAGGTGTTTTTGTTATGAGTGACAAACGAAATACCGAAACGTGGGTTCAGAATATTACCGACGGCATTCTATAAAAATACTTTTGGAAGAATTAGGTGCTAGACAACTGGTACCTTAAATAAGGCTACAAAATTTGTATACTAATATGTAATCAAATTAGAAACCAATATTATTAACTGGTAAAAATAGGTCTCGTATCTTTCAATAATTTTTTATAGGATAGGCCGTAGGTGTCGTAAGTGGGGATAGAGGGAAACTGAAACAGGATATAGGCAGCAGCATTGTTCTTTCGCCATCCCGCCTTGCCAGCGTGGCAACTATAGCAAAAGCCTACAAGACAATCTAAAGGGGAGGCCAATTAAGGCGCTACTCCTAGCGAACGACCTGCAGCATTCGGTTCTATACATTCCACGCGCTCTCTCTACAATAATATATCGCGTAAGAAATTCGCCCAAATTTTAAAATATTTTCTTTATAAAATCGAATATTTATCTTTTGAAAAAATTAAACAGATCAAAATGTTCATTAATAAATTGCTTATCCATTAGTGGCAATCGTAAAATAAAAAGGTTTGGAAAATCCAAAAGTACACGCCTTATAATCTCATTTGATTATATAAAAGAAAAATATCTTTTTTTCTATATTTGAGATGAACAAAGAGATCCATGAGAATATTTTTTTGTAGAAAAGTACCAGTTGTTTTTTACATTTTCATTAATTACAATTAAACGAGAACAAATTACTCAGTGATTTTTTAAAGGAACCTGTGCGTTGAGATTCTAAACCTAATAAAAAAAGAATTGTTTTGATACATTAATTCTAACGACTACGATTAATACAGACTTCCGGGCACCCTCGATAATTTTTTTCAATCAGTTTGTTTTTACACTAAATACAAAAAATTTATTTTAAAAATAATAGAAACATGAAAACGAGTGATTTTTCTCGATATATGTGTATTTTTATTATTCTTAAAGTGCGGTAGTTAAAAAATGAAGACATTTTTAGCTCAGTAAATTACTGGATTTCCATTGTTAACATATTTTAATAATTTATATTGTTGTAACTAACATGGTGGGTAATTAATTATTTTCATCCTATATAGTCTGCGGGTATATTAATGTATTAGATTATGTCTAGTTATTTATTTTTGCTTATATTTATAACTAGAATGTAAAACTGTTTAAGATAATTATGAGAAATATAAATAATGTTTTATAATGTAAAACCTTACAGCTTAATATCCGATTTTATAAAAACTTGTAACGGAAACCACACAAGCAACGCCATCTGTGGTTTAGCACTGTTAAATTACAAGCCTATAAAAGACAGATGTCGTCGGTTTGAGCGGCAGCGACAAGCGGCAGTCTTACTAAAACTGTTGAGTAGAGAATACGTACACGGAAGATAAATTGTGAGTAATAACAATTATTGTTATACCTTGTTATTTGTGTGTCTAAAATGTACATTGTTATTATTATGAATATCTATAACCTTGTTTAGATTTATGATATTTTATGCAGTTAATAAAATACATGATGTTACTTACGTATTAAGCGACTTTACTTAACACCATTAGGTGAGAGTAGAGCACAACCTCAACGCTTCGCTTACGAGACGTGTAATAATGTTTACTTTATGAGATGTATGTCATCAATAATTTTATATAATAATTTTTTATTATTAATAATTAATTCGCATTTCTGTGGTTTAGTTGTAGGAAGATTCATCAAGTATTTACTCCTTTGAAAAAAAAACTGGAATTGGCTATTATGGAATCAATATTGTGTAGAAATGTAATAGGTTTTTTTATTAGTTGATATGTCATTTTAATATGAAGTAGATAGCTCCTAAAAACGTCACAAATAACGACTAGCGCTGCATTTTGCACAAACACGCAACTTAAGGGAATTGATAAATACTACTAAATGTATCAATGCCATTAATTATTCATTCAATAAAGACTATCGAAGACCACTGCTGAACATACCCAGGGGGGGGGCGGATCACTCCATAGATTACCTGATAAGGGGGAATATTTGCCACAGTTGCCACGCTTGGTGGGCAGGTTGGTAACCGCAGTTTATTTTATTTTCTAGTCGTTATTAGGAAGACGCTGTTGCCTTTATTTCTCTGTCTCACCTCTTGCGTCACCCACGGGACGATATGGGTTACTGGATATTCTTACACGCTACTACTCGTTCTATTACTCAAACTTACTACACAAAATACACAGGAACGAATACGAGTTCTCCTACAAAGTGAGCGACTACGACAGCGGAAGTGACTTTGGCCACGCGGAAAACCGGCAGGACGATAAAGCAGAAAGGACGTATTTAATCGTACTTCCTGATGGAACCAAACAGGTACGTTGAAATCATCTTCATCAGCTCTACTGCTTTGGAACCCAAGTAAATTCCACCTATCGATTTCTGCAAACACAAATGCAAATACTATTGTATTTCAGTGTAGTAAGACGCACTGAAATACAATGTATAAGTTTTCACAGTACGCGAGCAATTTTAAGCGTTGATTTACCACGTGCTCCACGGTGAAGGAAAACATCGTGAGGAAACCTGCATGTCTGAAAAACAAAAAAATATTTCGAAGACGTGTAGAGTTCTCTCATTTCTCTTACAGCCTATATACGACCCACTACGTAGGACGTATTTAGGCTGTAACTTTTAACTTTATAGTAAGACGGTCAGCATTGTTAGAGGTTGTGAATGTTAATTCTTTCTTTACTGGGAAAAAGACATTCCATTTTAGTCCTTAGGAGTGACAACGCGTCTGCATCATCGGATACAGATGTATATGTCTACGGGCTGCAGCACCCACTTGCCATCAGATGGAACGTGTGCTCGTTTGTCACCATTCTTCTATAAAAAATTGAATTGAAAAACAATCTTACAGTCCACCTGATGGAACGTTGCAGGAATCTGTTGTTCACCTGCAACCAACATAAATAAAGAATTGGCCTCAATGAGGACTAAGATGGAATACCTCATGGCCTGTTATTATACTGGGTTTCTTCTACATTTTTCTACATCTCTTATACACTTCAGATGTGGATGATAATAAGCCCTGGGTAGGGTGATCGCTACCAAGCTGATTCTAATTTACTGTGTTAATTGTAACATACATGATTGTAAGCTGTTATTTAAAAATCCCGCTGGGTTTCATGCTGGTTCTTCCCAGGATAGAGGTTTTTTTTCCGAATCAGTGGTAAATTAAAAAAAAGTGACTTTCAATAAGTATTATTTATAATCTATATTGAATAAAAAAGTTTCTGTTTATGTTTTTGATCTCTTACTTTTTATTCTTGGACTACAGTAGCTAGTTGCTATAATTTGTCAACAAACGAAAGTGTACAAACAAGTATATTTTTTTAAACTTTGTCCTAAGAAATTAATATACCACGTTTTTCACCTACAATTTCTGATTCTGAGCTATGATCAAAATTTCAAGTCAAAATGACTAAGGGATAGTATGTCCATTTATATTATTTATAAAATTACCAACACACGGTAAGAAATATGTTTTAAAGTTGGTTGTACCAAAAAGTTGGTGTTGGTTGAACCAGCAAGAAACTCGGGGGATTTTTTAAAAATAATACCTTACAATCATGTATGCTACAATTAATAACACGTAACAAATTAGAAATAGCTTCGTAGCGATCACCTTACCCAGGGGTATTATCATCCATAAATTCCTTACACTATGTATATACAAACTTAGTTTAATAAAGTTTTTGAACTTTGATGATTGATTGAGATGGACAGACAGGAGCAGTGTCAATACTTTGTTTTAATATGTTTTGGTTGATTACTAAGTATCTCTAAACATCTCACATATCATAATAAAATAACTGGGTAAAAACATGCTTATCTACGTAGCCTTCTCAGAAATGAGGGGGAGGCCTGTGCCCAGCTGTGGGACGTATACAGGCTGTAACTTTAAAGAATATTTGAAAGTGTTGGTAATTATAATATATTCTTTTATTATAGTTATTTTTTGTTATATTATATTTATTTTTTGTTTCATTATTTCATATTGCCGGTTTTAAATTATATAAATATTGAATTTTACAATAGTGTGTCGTCTTTTCTATAGGATTATGGAGTTGTGTCAATAAGACCCGTCACCTGCGCGGCTAGATGCAGTGTCGGTTGGTATTACCGAGATCCTTGGCATGAATCCATCTTCATCAGCCTCGTACTCTACCACCTGGAAAGAACAGAATACATGCCATGAAAATGTGTTAATTTTACCACGTTTTCACCACGTCACTTTCTAGTTTTTCTGCCGTTCCTGGTGGAATCTTGCAATTCAAATTTCGAACACTTCCCGATGGGCTAGGGACTTGAAATTTTGATCATAGCCCAGAATCAGAAATTGTAGGTGAAAAACGTGGTACATTAATTTCTTAGGACAAAGTTTAAAAAAATATACTTGTTTGTACACTTTAGTTTGTTGACAAATTATAGCAACTAGCTACTGTAGTCCAAGGATAAAAAGTAAAAGATCAAAAACATAAACAGAAACTTTTTTATTCTTATTTATATATAGATTATAAATAATACTTATTGATAGTCACTTTTTTTTTAATTTACCACTGATTCGGAAAAAACCTCTATCCTGGGAAGAACCAGCAAGAAACCCAGCGGGATTTTTTTTAAATAACAGCTTACATTCATGTATGTTACAATTAACACACAGTAAATTAGAATCAGTTTGGTAGCGATCACCCTACTCAGGGGTTATTATCATCCACATCTGAAGTGTATGAGATGTAGAAAAATGTAGAAGAAACCCAGTATAATAACAGGCCATGAGGTATTCCATCTTAGTCCTCATTGAGGCCAATTCTTTATTTATGTTGGTTGCAGTTGAACAACTGATTCCTGCAACGTTCCATCAGGTGGACTGTAAGTTTGTTTTTCAATTCAATTTTTTATAGAAGAATGGTGACAAACGAGCACACGTTCCATCTGATGGCAAGTGGGTGCTGTAGCCTGTACAATCTGCCGCAGGGTATGTATATGGTCTGTGGTGCAGCCGGGCATGAAGCCCTTTGGAAACCAGAAACCAGCGTGCGAGATGATTCGTGATGACTCTTGAAAACAGCACGTAGACGCGGCTCAGAAGGGAAATCGGTCTGTAGTACTTTACGAGAGCATTGTCTTCTTTCTTGAAGAACAAGACCACCGTAGGTGCTTCTTCTTTTTGCCTCCGAAGTAGTGCCTCCGTGAAGGACGGAATTAAAGCGGTTGTGTAACCATTCTAACCACGCTCAGAATGACGTCCGGAATATCATCAGAATAGTGTCGGATAAGACTTACTCTTGAATCGTTACTCACACTTGCCTGTGGCTAATTCGAATACTCCATATTGAAATAATACTAGTTTTTACGGAATTTATCGCGTGTATTTAACTTTTTAATTACCCGACGTTTCGAACGCTTTACAGCACTCATGGTCACGGGCAGGACTGAGATGTTCAACGTCCATATGTCATAGTTAACCGCGGTTACCATAGATTAAAATTTAACTTTTGTTCCGATCTATGCAGTATGAACTTATGGTGTCTTGCAGTTGTATGCTTGGGTTGGTATTTAATTTTATTTATTATAGGATCCCAAGCAGATGGTAGCACCCAGCCATCTTCTCTATTGAAATTAGGATGTTTTTTTATTTCAATAGCCTCGCGAATCATCCTTGGAAGGAATCGGTGTTCTTTAGCGAGGATCTGCGGTCTATCAAATCTGATGTAGTGACGGGGGCGATCCTGTACGTGTTCACAGTCTGCAGACTTCCCGGAGCGTCGATTCTTCACATCAGCTATATGTTCTTTAACGCGGGTTTTTGTTGATGTTTTAGTTTGTCCTATGTAGGAGAGACCACATTCACAATCGAGCTTGTACACTCCTGCATCTTGCAGAGGGACATTACACTTGACCGATGGTAAAAACTGACCAATCTTCTTCAGCGGCTTGAAGTATGTTTTGATGGAAGCGCGCTTCAAGATGTAGCCAATCTTGTCAGTGACTCCTCTAACATATGGCAGTACAGCAGGTACACGCTCGACTGTGGCCGGCTTCACTCGTTCACTGTGACGTAGGCGCGGGACTCGAAGCTTGTTGTCATGCAAAACTTGCTTGACATGGTGGAGCTCTGCAGCCAGGTGTTTACTGTCACAGATCCCTCGTGCTCTCTGAAACAAAGATTTACCCACGGTAGCTAACTGTGAAGGATGGTGGTGAGAATCACCGTTTAAATATATAGAAATTTAAATATTTAAATATATAGATATTTAAACGGTTAAATAAAGTAACTGCATTTTTAGACCATCTTAACTCTATAAATTCTAAAATTCAGTTCACAATGGAGTTAGAGGCAAACAATTCCTTAGCTTTTCTAGATGTGTTAGTAATTCGGAATCCTGATAACACCTTGAGCCATACTGTGTATAGAAAAAAGACCCATACAGATAGATATTTAAACGGTGATTCTCACCACCATCCTTCACAGTTAGCTACCGTGGGTAAATCTTTGTTTCAGAGAGCACGAAGGATCTGTGACAGTAAACACCTGGCTGCAGAGCTCCACCATGTCAAGCAAGTTTTGCATGACAACAAGCTTCGAGTCCCGCGCCTACGTCACAGTGAACGAGTGAAGCCGGCCACAGTCGAGCGTGTACTTGCTGTACTGCCATATGTTAGAGGAGTCACTGACAAGATTGGCTACATCTTGAAGCGCGCTTCCATCAAAACATACTTAAAGCCGCTGAAGAAGATTGGTCAGTTTTTACCATCGGTCAAGTGTAATGTCCCTCTGCAAGATGCAGGAGTGTACAAGCTCGATTGTGAATGTGGTCTCTCCTACATAGGACAAACTAAAACATCAACAAAAACCCGCGTTAAAGAACATATAGCTGATGTGAAGAATCGACGCTCCGGGAAGTCTGCAGTCTGTGAACACGTACAGGATCGCCCCCGTCACTACATCAGATTTGATAGACCGCAGATCCTCGCTAAAGAACACCGATTCCTTCCAAGGATGATTCGCGAGGCTATTGAAATCAAAAAACATCCTAATTTCAATAGAGAAGATGGCTGGGTGCTACCATCTGCTTGGGATCCTATAATAAATAAAATTAAATCCCAACCCAAGCATACAACTGCAAGACTTCAAGATACCATAAGTTCATACTGCATAGATCGGAACAAAAGTTAAATTTTAATCTATGGTAACCGCGGTTAACTATGACATATGGACGTTGAACATCTCAGTCCTGCCCGTGACCATGAGTGCTATAAAGCGTTCGAAACGTCGGGTAATTAAAAAGTTAAATACACGCGATAAATTCCGTAAAAACTAGTATTATTTCAATGTGTAGTGTTCGCGTAAATATAAGAAATCGAATACTCCACCTTAATTTTGTCATTTTTACAGGGACAAATTCCCCAATCAACAACACTCTCTACCAACAAGAAATGATCACGATATGGAGCATCAGAAAAGAAAGTAAGAAGCAAATGCAATATCCCAAATAGCCAGGACAATTGAAGTTTATCGGCAGTTATCATTACTGTTTTAAATTTTCCAAACAGAATACAACAACAATAGCATAATGCTATTGTTGTTGTATTCTGTTAATTTGAAATCAAAGACTCATTTAATTTTAAAAATATTTTCATGTTATGTTAAATTAATTTGTTTTCTTTTAATATCTTATTGTAAAAGAATGAACTGATATTCGTTTCATTTTAAATTTCCTTACATATGAAATTAGCGTTTTGTCGTACTGACCACTTTGATCTGAAATATCTCCTCTTTGGTCATTGAAGTAATATGTATTTACGTACTAGAATAGCTATTTCAAACAAAAATGTGCGTTACTCTGTGTTCGCGCGGTTGGTTTTTTATCATAGAATAAACATAGAACGATCAGTAGGTAGTAGTAGATTGTATTGTTAAATAGGTAAATTATATCGAAAACAAATTTTAAATTTTGTCATTTTTTATATTGTATTTGATTATTTAATATAATATTACATAAAAATATATCATAACTACATTATAATGATATTTTTATTTCAATATTGTAAAATATATCTGTCAAATATAAAAAACATATCAAACGTATGTTTAACAAAACTTATTAATATGACATTTAAATTACAAACATATTTATTTAAATTAGAATAAAAGTCGTTCATAAACGCTGGGCGCGCGAGAGTTAAAAATGGACGAATTTATTCCACTTTGACTTTGAAGTGGAAATCTAAAAATAAAATAAAATAGTAATAAGCAGATTTTAACATGAAAAATTTTGCCTAATTATAATAACTTATATATGTTTCTACAAAAAAATGTGTATAATAATATATTTGTCTTATATTTAGCTACACACAGAAATGTCTCATCTGAAAAAATTAATTTCATAATCTATATTCCATGACACGAGTCTTAGGAATTATTTTGTTTTATTATTAATATATAATTCTTATTTATTGATTAAGTATCTTATTAACCGATGAAAAGTAATTACTTGGTTTTAACTGTCATTTCTTGAATTATTTGTGCAATATCTAAGTACACACGACGGCACATTTTTATCAAGAGATTTTTTTTAAATCAACACAACACGTGACAACTCTACAAGCGCCTAGCGCAAGTAATCTATGGCCTAGCGAGTGACTGATTAAAGTGCGGTGTAAGCACCGGAGTTGAATGAAACAGAGTAGCTGAATGAAGTGTCGCCTCTAGTACGTAGTACATAATAGCTCAATGTCTTTGGTTAAGAATTCCAAATTCAAACTTATAAATTCATTGAGCTGGTTTGAGTTTGAAAAACAGTTTGTTTGTTTTTTCCTCATAATTTTTTTCTTTGGCGTCGCTTATTACCGCACAACGGCAAACATGAAATATCGGTATATTTACGAGTACGAGTTTTGTCGTAGCACCAGTGCTGCAGAAGAAGCTCGAAGGATTAATGATGTGTACGGCGCTGTTGTCGCAAAAGAAAGCACGATCGTTTTTGGGTTCAATATATTCGTTCTGGAAATTTCGACCTTCAGAACCAATCCGTGGACGGCCGGCGACACAAAGTGGAAAAAGAATTAAGGGCTATTGTGGAAGCGGATCCATAACAAAGCACTTCAGAGATAGCTGCAGGCTTCTAGGTAAGTGATAAAACTGTATTAATCCACTTGAAACAAATCGGGAATGTAAAATAACTTGAACGATGGGTACCTCATGAATTGAGTAAATCGAACTTGCTACGCGTCGACTGCTGTGTTACTTTGCTCAACCGACAAAAAAATGAAGGGATTTTAAATAGAATCATTACTTGTGATAAAAAGTGGATACTGTACGATAATCGGAAGCGCTCGTCGCAATGGCTGAACCCCGGAGGCCCAGCCAAATCCTGCCCTAAACGAAAATTGACTCAGAAAAAGTTACTTGTGAGTGTTTGGTGGACTGGCGCCGGTGTCATTCACTACAGCTTTCTAAAATCTGGCTAAACGATTACGGCAGATACCTTTTCTCAGCAACTGCAAACAATGAAGGAAGAACTAGCTGCTAAACTTTTATACGTGGTAGAGCCATGCTGCAGGTATATTAGTAGTATAGTTGTAGCATGAATGGGTCGGCTCGACCGGGGAGGGACCACGCTCTCACAGAATACCAGCGTGAAATAGTAGCTTAATGTTGCTGTATTTCGTATGGTGAGTGTAGAGAACCGGAGACCCATTTTACTGGAAACGAGGCATTCCATCTTAGTCCTCACGGGTGACAACGCATCTGCATTTTGATTCGTAATCGAGGATAGATGTAGATGTCTATGGGCCACAGCAAAAACTTACCATCAGGTGGACTGTGTGCTCGTTTGTCACCCTATCCTATAAAAAAAAAAAACAACCGAGATTGGTCAATCGCTCTAGGCCACTTCTCCTTCACGACAACGCAAGACCACACACTGCACAACAAACAACCACTAAGTTAGATGAGCTACAATTGGTATATTTGTGACATCCACCGTACTCCCCGGACCGGGCTCCAACAGATTACCATTTTTTCCGGAAATTGAACAACTTCTTACAAGGAAAAAATTCAACTCCGATATGGCAGTCTGACTGCCTTCAAAGATTTTATCGAGTGAACGGTGCATACTTTGATTAATTAAATATATTTTACAAAAAAAAATTGACTTCATATTCCTCCCGTACAAAACGCCAATTTCATATGTAAAGACCTATTATAATTTTAATTTCATAGTCTTATCATTTGATATAAAAACCAATATTTTTCTAAATATGTTAAGCTGTATTATCAAGTTTCAAATACGAAAAAATAGATTTTATGAGGTTTATTGACGGGCTGTTATTTATGCGTGAATGAATAAACAAGTAGTGGTTGTCGTGTGGTGGCGAACGAACTTGGGACCTCATGATTAGCAACCACCTTTAAGGGGATATAGTAAGTCAGCTCAAATTCTAATTTCACCCCCACTTACCCGCGCATCTAATGCTATGTACCGACATGTTTGTAACCACTAATGCTGTAAGTAGATAGGTCGTTAGATACTTAATTCCTTAGGTTTATCATATTTATGCCTGTTTCTTAACGCCAACCCAGTCGCTTCTTATTTTTATTACGGTTATTTCCCATTTTAATTTTACGTTGTCCTGTTGCGTAATGTGTATTCTGATCGTAAGCGACACAACCTCCCCCTTCAAAGGCCGAAGAAAAACTGACCGGTGACCGGTCGGCAGGAATCAAGCTACAATACGCCGATAGTTTAGGTAATTTCTTTTTACAGTGAAAATAATGGTACTTAAAAAAAAGGAAAATAACCTAAGCACTGCTTTATAGTTAGTTCAGTTAGTATGCAAAGTTTCATGATCTTATTTAAAGTATTGTATGAATAAAAGCCGTTTATTGTTTATTTTGGAGGTAACTTTAGATTTTTTTTTCTATCGAGAAAATTTTACGGAATCGTGTTTTTGTCTAACGTAGTCCTTAACATTAATCCTCAACTTTACCATATATTTATTTCAAAATTAATGCTGCAATATTTTTGGCATAACGGAGGATCTTGCTAAGCCATTTGAGGTTATATTTCCCCTTAACACCAATAATGCAACGAGGCAGTAGCAATTGCTATACATAGATACAGTGTAATTACCTCGTTTATTCTGGATATAAAATAACCTGACTGAGTACGTGAGGGTCAGAAGTGGAAACTGATATGATTGTTAATCCTGTTCGTGTTGCGATAGAATTCCTAACAGAAGAATTGCATTTACAGCAGTGAAAAAAAATTTCCAACGTTTTGAGAAAGAAGATCATAATATTATGTCTTCACGTATTCTAAATTGCATATTTTATCGACTAGTTATTCGCATGAATTTTCCCGATCAATACGACTTAGGTACCTTCAAGAAAAAGATTACTCCTTTCTAAAAAGCCGGCAACGTACCTTCAATTCCCCTGGTGTTGCAGTTGTTCATGGGCGGCGGTAGTCACTTAACATCAGATGAATCGTATGCTCGTTTTCCCTCTGTATAAAAAATCCCTCGCCTAAATAAAAAATAATTATGATTGATAATATTCCTTTGTAAATTATGATAATCAATCTTTCAAACACCCTCAAATAAATTGGATATTGTTAGTAGATACTCAAACGAAAATTCTGTTTTCAGTGTGCAAATTGAGTTATACGTACTGGATCATAATACCTACAAAGTCAGTCGGTTTTTATTTTAAGAAATTCAGTTTTTTCCTTATCTTTTGAAGTTAGAATATTTATTTATTTATATAATTTGCATGCCACAAGAAATACATCATACATCAATTGACGCCACGTAAGGACATAACAATTTACGAGAGGGTAGTTTTTATTTTAAATACTAAATATGACTCTTACAAAAGCCACGGGATGATATATATATATATATATATATATATATATATATATATATATATATATATATATATATATATATATAATAGGTATATAATATTGGATATATTTAAGTCACCACTACATGGAAAACCTTATGTTGTAGAGTCCGTAAGTACATGATCTGAAGAAGCATGCACACTATAAATAACAAAAATATTTACCCAACACACTGTACATGTCAATCATGGGCACGGAAAACATTTCTGTTTCTCGAATATTGTAAAATGTTTTTTCCCAAGGGTGATTTTATACTGCTTTATTATATATATATATATATATATATATATATATATATATATATATATATATCTATTTTTTCGTATTTGAAACTTGATAATACAGCTTAACATATATATATAATAAATTGCGAAACATAAACAAAGACGTCCACGATGGCAGATTTTAATAGACATCCTCTGCCAGAAAATCTTATAGGTAGATAGACGATATCATTATCAACAGTCTTAATCAAGCTTTTACTGACAAAAATGAAAAGAGATTTTATCTAAGACGCTTTATCTTTTGA